CTGAGATGGAGGCCACCCATGTCTGACTTGACTGGAAACACCGAACAGCTACACTGGCACTCCTCCTTTCTCAGGCACTCAAATCACTGAGCAAGAACATCTGAAGACAATAGCTTTCTGACTTTCTTCTGCTTTCATTTAATGTTTCAATGTAGTGTAACAATCTGTAGGAAGAGACAGAGGGCAAAAACAGAGCTGCCACATTTGAGAGCTGAAAACAGTGTAATGAACTAGTCATGATGTATTCAAATGTTATTTTTAAGGGAAGAATCATGTTTTAAAATAAGTCTCTAAAATTGGCAACTTTGCATTCAACAGATCTGCTGGCTCTGAGCATCCAGCTCTACTGGCACAATGGTTATGCTCCAAGCAAGGTGTATTAAATATTTGGACATAAAAGCTGATACAAGTTACAAAAAAAAAAAGTTCCAGAATATAAGTACATTAATATCCTAAATCATTTTTATTCTGACAAATTTATGATTGTTTTTTTCCTATCAGCTGAAGGAACAACACAGAAGTAAGAAGCACTACCATTCTCTGGTAACATATTAAGATTAGCAGAGAAATTTAAATTCTTCTCCTGAAATGAGCAACTACACCTCCATGGTATGGTTGGAAGGCCCATCCTTTTCTTCTTCCTGAACAGATACACTGTCTTATGCTCATATCACAGTTGCTTGCCCACAAAACCAAGACATCAGGGAGAAAGTCAAACAGATTATCCTCCTCTTTGCATAGGATAAAAAAACAAATCTATTAAAGGACTATGAGTTTTTTCTATGTCAACTTCACTAACCACAAGAATTGCCAAGTTAAAAAATGAAAGTCAAAGGACACTGGAAAAATAAGAGCTGCATTTGCCCAGCAAAATTTTATCATCAATGATGGCAAAAATATTCAGCTTGATTCCTAGATGCTGACAGAATTAGCACAAAAACACTCCAACGGGAGAAAGAAGTGTTGTAATGTATAAACTAGGCACTTCAATCCAAAGAAAGAAGCAATTAATATCCTCTCATGGCTGTTCCTTGTCAGAGCAGTACTAAGCTAGTCAAACAGCTTCACTCAACAGGCCTGTTTTTCACGTAGTCCAACTGAAATGAAAGGGACTTTTCCAGAAGTAGTGTCATCATGAGAAAAACCACAAGATTATTTACTAGGTTTGGGGGGGGTGGTGTGTGGGTGTGGGTGTGTATTTGTTTGTTTGTTTTTTAACAAAATAACTCCAAAACTCTATTTGGCCTCTGCTTTTGAAAAGTTCCCATCATGAATGCTGAATTCCATTAATTAAAAAAAAAAAAAAAAAAAAAAGATGACTTCTGATCTTTAGCATTCTTCAAATTCTGAACCCAAAGCTGAACTGAATTCTTTTTGGTACCTACTGACTTCCAGAAGTAATTCCAGGAATCTGAAAGTTATTACTTGGCAATGTACTATTGTTACTTTACATTTACCCAAAATACAGTTGTATTTTTCAGGAAGTCCTATGTAACTACTGCATTTCAAAATGCACCACTTACTATAACAAGTTCATCTGTTCTGTAAGGTGTAACAGCTAACACAGCCCTGGCATGAGAATTTCAGCATGAGAAAGTGTAGACAATGGGGGAATAAGATATATTGCATTTAAATCTCACGGGGACTGAGCACCATGTATCTGACGCAGCAGCTAGAGAAACAGCTGAAAACAGTACCATGCAAAAAACAGCTCCTGCAACAGCACTGTGCCATTTATACATGTTAAATGTAATCTGGCTGATTATTTCACATTTTCATTCTGATTTATTTTATGGAATCAGAGATTTTGGAATGCTTCAGACCCTTCCTGGGTATACTATCACAATTCAGCATGCTTTAGCTCACCACTACAAAAGTAGCAGAAGTGCAAGGATCAATAATCACTTAACAGGTTGTAAAAACATAAGAGGTAAAAAGGAAAGGAATATGGGGAACAGGAAATAGTTTATAGTCAGCACATGTGTTTTTTTAATCGCAAAGAGTGTCCTTGCTTCCCATTTTAACTTGATGGGTCACATTTTCTACTGTCAAAATAGACATGACTTCACTAAACTTGTGGAACTAATCCATTTTATCCTAGCAGAAGATATGTCCCTAGACTCTTGATTTGATGCCGTGAGAACAAAATAAGGCTTTATGTGACCAAGTAATTAAAACCAAGCCACTTTAAAATGTTCAGTAAATACAGTAAATCTGCTTATGCTGACAAGATATTACCTTGCTTGCAAAAATGACCCTTATTTATGCACTTTCAGAGATGTCTGAAGAAGACGAATTGTATCATTTTACTTGTAAAGTTTGCTGTCAGAATTGCATGTTGGCTTACAGGCATGCTTATTATTTGAGTCTAGTTTAGGTGCCTATTTTCAAATATTTTTCATAATAGAATTATTCTAATTATCCTGTGTCTCTGTTGGCTCAATGTTCTTTGAGAGACATTGTTATACAGAAGGCACTGAATATGCTGGAATATCTCAAAGGAAGATGGACAGTTATTAGTTAACCTTGGATGACTTCAAAGACATTGGCAGATACTATCAACTTTAAATTAATTAAAGTGCTAGGTACTGACATTCTTCTTTACTCTTAATAAAGCGTATATTCTGTGTCTTTATCAGTTATTACTAAGATCTTCATACCACCTTTATAGGAGCATTAACATTCAGGATATTGAGTTTATTGTACTGTAATGCAAATACTGCTGGTTGTCTGTTGTGTCCTCTTCACTTTCACAGATCTTCACTTTATCATTAAATTAATGGTATTGTTGGTGTTAGATCTAACATTAGAACTGCTGCTCTAAGAAACAATTCTCTCAAAAACACACACTTCTGTTTCAGATCTCAAAAAGAACGTACAGCACTATCAAAATCAACTGGACAGTATATTTAACCAAAATAGTATGATGTACTCGTCACAGCATGTAGGCCTAATGCACTCAGCATCAGAAGATTCTACAAAATTTTTGTTCATCAGCCTATACATCTAGCTGCATACAGTAACTGCTTTTCAGAATACCATCAGGTGGCGAGTAGAATGAGTGCATTTTACGTCTAGCTGAAAGCAAAGAGAGAAATAGTGTCATGGTACATTTTAATACCAGAATCCTAATAGCAGTAGAGATGAGTGGTTACCAAGTATGCCAGTAACATTAGATCATGTAATTACATATCAAGTTGCGTACAACGTTTTTTAAATGGAAGAAGAGGAATGTAGGAAACTATAATTCTGAACAATACTTTGCCTTTTTCTTTAACTTGAAATACAAATGAATTCATTGCTATTTACTTTAAACAGATGTTATGTACATATGCACCCATCCAGACATACATAAATAAATATCATATAGTTTAACCTATGAGATAATCTGTGAACTTCTAAAATGTTTTAACATTGATTTGTAAATTGAAAAATTTCACTGTATTAAAACTCTCTCTAGGCTGCAGGGTCAAGTATTCTATTCCCAGAATCTTATAAAGATTATTATCCACAATATCATCAGACTAACTAGTTGTTATACTGACCACTTAACTAGTCATACACCATAGGAGAGATGTTTCTCCATTCTAAATAACTGATTAGCAACAGTAACTTCCTGATGTTCCTATTAAGGTTCACCATTCTTCTTTTATTCATACATAAATCTTTAAGAATATTACCTTTACTCCACATGGCTTGAATTAGTTAAAATCTCCTATCAGATATCATCACCTAGTTTCATCACTAGTTAAAACATGGGGAAGAGCATGGAGATGACTTCAAAGAAATTCAGCACATGATTTAAGTAAAAGTACGTACCTTGCCTTCTGAAAGAAAATTTTCATCTACAAAATCTAGTATCTAAATTTTTATGTAGTCCTGTTAAATGAATCACATTAAATCTCTGAGACATAGAAAAGCATGCCATAGGCTAAATGTGGTTTACAAATATGTTATTTATTTTTGGATTCCTTCTGCAATAAAGATGCTAATTTGAAAGGCTATAGTGGTACAAGCAAAACAAATAAGGAAAATTAAAGAGCAGTGTGTTACTGTTTCAGTTGCCACTTGCTAGTACACCTTTCAAATAAAATACAACTTTCATTTGTATATCCTGTTTTGATTTATGTACTGAAAAACTGTAATTTTTCTTTTCCATAGCCTTTTGATATTTTTGTTGCCACTATCCTTCTTCAAGGAAAAAAAAGAAAAAGCAAATAACTCGCAATGACAACTATTTCTATATTGTTTTCTTTCACTGCCCTTCTGTATTCTGCCCTTTCACCCTTCTCAAACCAAACCAATAGGTCCTTTTGCTTTTGAAGCAGAAGTTTCTATCTCTTGCCCAACCTTCTCTACACCCATATAATGCCAGGCTGTCAAATGAGGCCAGCTATTCCTCTTTATTTCCTATTGATATGTGAAGTCCAAAGGTATTCTATTGTGTGTGTTTTAAGAATGAGTAACAAGTGAAGCATATCAACATTTTTTGCCCAAACTGCAGAGACATTTTTAAAGCAATGTGAAGGGATTTAGATGCGTGACTTCCAATTACCTTAATGGCAGCCATCTGGTTCAACATCAATACATCACACTGAAATTTTACCCCATGCTGCACATAAGTAATGTAGTAATTTACAATAGGCCATCTTTATTGGCCAAGAGCTAAGAAAAAATATTTTTGAAGGAGAAAACATTTTGCATTTATTCTACCATGGCCTCCATAAGAATATCTATTTTGTCTGGAATAAAAACAACAAACAGCAAAAATAAGTAGCACAAACCTCACTCCTCTGACCCTTGTTTTATTTTCACTGTAAAAATAATCTTGTCAACAATAAGGGCATGAATTTAAATTTGGGGAATCACACAGTGAAGGATACTGTTTCAGTTTAATTTCAGATAATGCCTGAAATCTGTATCTCAGATTAAAACATTTCCCTCAGCTTTAGTCCAAGAAACATAGCAGGCTGTATCTTCAACAGCAGATGAAAACTCACCTTATTACAAAGTCATGGCTATCAATCTCTTTTCCACATCCACTGTCCAGAAGGATGCCAGAATTCCCAACAACAGCACAGGTTTTAAATCGGCGATTCTTCATTGGGGAAACTTCAGGGAGAAGGCTGTGCAAATCCTGAGAAATGTTCAGGGTACGACGTCTGTCCAGTACATAATGGATTACATCTCCTGGCTTGAAGCTGCTTTTGACCACTGAGACATCTCTTTCAGCATCCAAGAATCGAAGAATGTTCTTTCTGGGTTGACAGAAAAATGCACAGATAAAACCCAACTCACTGGTCGCATGGAGTTTATCTAAGAGTAATACAGACTGTACAGAGCATACAACATAAAGCAGAGGGTAGATAAAGCAGAGAGTAGATAGTGTCCGACAGACTAAGGTCATTTCCCATGCTCTAGGATGGAGTTAGAGCAAAGCTGTTAGGACAGAGTTCAAATCTGGGTTACAATATAACATGTAAATACTACAGTGATAGAGCATAATGACTTCTTAAACAGGCACTGAGAGACCAAGGGAGGATGACTTCGGAAATTAGAAGGCATACTATTTTTGAGTATTTTACAAAACTTTGGAGTAAACACATATTTGAAAAAGGACAAGAGCAGTTTGTTTTCATAGAAACATCATAGAAATATAGTTAAATGTATGAGGTATTTATGATTTAGGAAATAAATGCTTCACTACAATCTCATCTCTCACAAATCAGCTTGGTTCAGGGATGGCCATGTTTTCTTATAGATTCTTATTTCACCATAAGAACAACATATTCAGTTTAGCATAAACTTGCTCCTAATTAACTGAAGTTCAGCCAAAGTTATCCTAATTAACTTGAAATAGGAACACCCACAGTCTTTTGTACCAATTTAAACCAAATCAGCTTAAAGACATACTGCAAATTAAACTATTGCAGCTCAGGGTCTAGCCAAGCTGTTAGCTGAACTCATAGAAACACTTATGAACTCTATCATCACTTTAAATGAGGTTAGTCCAATCCTTTACCTTGCTTCTCTGCAATTAATTGTTTAAACTATTAGCTGGGTTCAGACACACATGATCAAGACATGAGGGTTTAACAAGCCCACGGGTCAAGTGAACTATGGTAATTGAACAGTTGTATACTCCCAGTCCACAGCAAGTATCAGATGAAGAATGTCTGCTTAAACGTCAGCTGAAGAAGTTAGGTCATGGTAATTGTACCCGCTGGCGGGGGTGGGGGTAGGGGTCTAAAAACTGACACACTTTCAATACTCAGGATTGCCAATGAGCAAAGCCTTACAAGCTTGTGTCCATCCCTGCTCTGCAAAGCATGTACATTTGTGAAAAGGCATAAAGATGACATCTGAACTTAAACATGCTTAAGTACAATACACTTATGGAACAGACAGGGAGTGCTGAGCTGGGGCAGAGTGTTCACTACGTGTTAATTCGAACATAAACTTTTGCCTCTGCAACTCTAACAAGACAAGAAGAAGAACAATAACTTCATATTTTCCATGGCTGTCAGCAGGTAAGGTGGAATTTAAAACAGAACAGACATTTTGTTGACTAAGAGAATGCTATTTTTATGTAATAAATTTTTAGAGCAGGACTTCCTTAGAGCAGATCAAAACAGGAAAAGATAACTAGAGATGCCACTCTAGCAGTTGCAACACCCACGGAGAGACATAAAGGGGAAATAATCCCCCACAAGTGAAAAGGGATAAACTATAGGAACACCATGCTCACCAGCAGCCAGCTCTTGTGCCAGTGCCTCAAGAGGGAAGAATATATCTGAAACTTGCAATCAGTGACACAAAATACTCACCCTGGAACTGACCTTAAAAGCCACAGAGGAAGTGAAACATGATAAAAATATTTTTTCAAGTGTTTGCTCTCATTTCTTAAACTAGGAGCAAAAAAAAAAAAAAAGAACGAACGTCTTGGGCTGTCTGTTACAGCTGTCATGCATGAATGAAGCAGCATCAGAGCAAAGACAGCTTGTGCTGAGGCCTATGAGGGACTCAGAATAACAGAGCAAGATAGACAATGTTAAAATCCTGAGAGTCTAAAGCTTTTGGTAAGGCCAGGCAAGGTATTTCTGTAAAAGGAATATGAAGACTCCACTTCAGCCTCTAAGTTGAATGGACTTAAAATCTCCATGGGTTTGATAAGCTTCATTTTGTGGGTACTCTCCAACAGATATATAAATTGCTACAAAATGAGAAAGAGCAAGAAAGAAGGAATTGCCCAATGTACCAGTATTAAAAATTACCAGAGCTCTTCATTACCTAAGAACACAGCTACCAGACCTGTGCCTGTAAAGGACAAGATGAATGCATCAGAGTTACCAATAGCATCAGCCAAGGTATCCACTCACTTCATATGCACTCTGACATGAGAAGGGGTGACCACAAATGAGTCTTAAAAAAGCAAAAGAAATTCTGTGAAATGTACAGAAATGTAGAAAGTCACGTGATCACCAGAAAATTTGCTTTAGTAATTTAAAGCACCTGTCCCTGATACCTAGAATGAATGGGCCTAATACTGTTTCTGTTAGCAAAAAAGTAGCAACATTTGTGCATGAATAGAGTATCTTCTGTATTATTTTCAAACATAAGAGGAAGGCAGTGAAGTTATGCAAACAGTGCCAAAAAATAGAAGTGTCTTGGCTTTCATTATTAATTTGGTTACTTACAGTCAAAGCTTACTTATCTATGTGCTTACATTTGCTCATAGAAGTCCTCCAAAGGGTTTCACGTGGACCTGAATTAGACTCAGATAATCAACCACTTATTTAACAGAGCTGAAATTTCCAAAATGTCTAAGGAATTTATTTTTCTATAAAATTTTGAGATGGGCAAAAGTCACTGAATCTTAATATCTTCTCACATATTTAAAAACTTTTCTTATCTGAAGTTGTCAGTAGCATATTCAATTAAATGTATGCACAAGTATTACAGTACACATAAGAAACCTTGTATAAGAGATGTGTAATAGTGCTAACTTTGAAATATTTTAAATGATTCATCTGACTGTATCCAGATATCTTTTAATACTGAAAGAAATATGATTAAGAATGCAGATATTCATGCTATTGTTTTAAGTTCCTCTGTGCTACTGACTCATCTGTACCATGGGGATAGTAGTACTTCCAATTTTCCTGTTAAGTGCTAAGAGAAAAAAATTTCCTAAGGGATATGACAAAAAACTGAAAGTACATACATGTCTCAGTTAGTCTTGATGCTGGTTAATAATAAGAACTTGTTTAAACCTCTGTTCTGTCCCGCAAAGAGCACTGAAAATAGCACAACAAGGTATTCTGATTAAACAGGCATGACAAAATAATTTAAAATAAGTGCTAATCCACATCCAGCTGCATATAAAATTCAAGTGTAAGCTCAATTAGAGGAAGGAAAAAACCAGCATGATTTTTAGTAAACCTTGAAGCAATGGTGTTCTGCAACCTTAAGTTAAAATGTGTAAAGAAACTATTTTATCTGAGGTGGTCTTCAAGTTTTGTTTTGATGAATAAAACTGTGTCTGGGGTGTGGCCTGAGCCCTTTGTGGGCAGGTGAGGCAGATGTGGCTCGCTCTTATCTGAAGCTAAGCAGCTGTTTGCAACATGTTTACATGACTCGCAGAAACATGGTGTCACAATCTGTGGTTGACCCAGGGTTCTTCTTCGATAACCAGAAACAGATGTTCATAATATTTAAGTACAAACTACAACTCTTGGCTATCTGATAAAGTATTGCTCGGGGGCAACATGGTGACATTTTTCTACTTACGTGCATTTTTCTGGTTTTATTTTGTACTGTAGTCTTTATACTACACAACGATTATATAATGGCAAACTCTCCCCCATCTGCCTCAGAATTGTGTGGATTAAGGGAAGAAAAAAAATCACTTAAACATTTGACTTTCAGGGTTACAAAGAAATTTATATTTTTAGACATTGTCAAGAACACTGAAATATGACCTCCTAACACTTTTCTTGGGAAAATCATTCCTTTTGAGCAAGGCAGTGCCAGAAATCCTTGCTGCTGGGGCATCTGGACTTGTCTGGACCCCAGCAGTGAGGGAAAGCGCCTGAAGTGCATCCTCAGTACCCAGGAAGCTGGGCTAGCTCACCAGCAACCAGTTATGGAAACAGAAACAGACTAAGTGATTACCTAGTCCACACTCTGCCCTCAATGAAGATGTGCCTTTATCTACATCACCCCCATGTTTATCTAATATATTCCTAACAACCTCCCATGGTGAGGACTCAGCAAACTCTCCACGAAGTCTATGTCAGTGCTTCCCTAGCCTTACCAGCAGCACAATATTCCTTGTGCTAGCTTGGATCTTTCCCACAGCAACTGAAGCCTGTCCTTGTTCCTTACACCTCGCCTGTGGAGGACAGACTATTTCTTACTCTTGGCAACAGCTTTCATTTACCTGAGGCTAAGAAGCCATCCAACTTTTTTTTAAACTTTTATTTTTTTAACCGGACAGGTCATGTGTTGTAGATCTCTGACCCCTCTTGTTGCTCTCCTGCAGACTTTCTCTGACTGATTCACACAGGTCTTTAAACAACTTGATTTTTCAATTATTCTACTCTAACCCTGGCAAGTCCTCACGCTGCTTTGCACTCCCCAGTTGGAAGGCAGAAGGCAGCTCTCAGCCTTTGAAATCATCAAGGACTACGACCTAGGTAAAACATACTTCTTGCCAGCTAATGCTGCTTTCCTTGAAGAGGTTTTCTTAAAACTCCCTTTCAGACTAAAGCCAAACCCAACACAGGTGCAAACATTTGCAGTCCCCACTGCCTCCTCAGGAGGCCAACAGGAGCTGTAGCCATCTACAAGGGCAGGCTGTGACCTTGTGTTACCACACAGTTTGTTCTTGTTTCGTTTTGTTTTTTAATTAAACAACACTAAAAATACTCCTGTCCCAAAGGAGTAGTGCTTTCCAACTCTCTGCTTGCCTCTAGCGCTGAAACAGGTACTTAAGACCAAACTGTGTTTGTATGTCTGAGTAAAGCAAAAATGAATAGTTTCATTTGATTAATTATCTTACCTTTCCCATATCTCCTTTTTACGCTCTCTCTATGCAAATTGATCACAAGCAGACTTCTAATAAATTCAGATCAGTTTAGGGCTTTTAACCACAATTCTAACAGTTGAGCTCTATGTTTCTGAATGTGCACTTCATGCAACTACAGGGAGGATTTTTCACATGCTACTAAAACAAAAGATTATTTTTTAATTTTTC